CAAGGGTACATTTCTCTCGTTTATATGGCCCTGGAGCAGCAGAAATCACTGGCCTACAGAGGAAAAATATGAATCCGAGCTCATAAAGGCTTTTTCACAGTGAAATAGAAGACAGGTACGGAATATAAAACCATAGAGGCTGACACAACCATCTCATGATGGCTGTATTTCAGCTCGGCCTTTGTGGCTCCACAGAGATCGCAGTGGGATACTAAATGCATGGGAAGGGATGGCCAAATGTGAGCAGATTTCAAAGCAAAGGTGTGCACTGGGTTGTTTCAGTGGTTGTTAGAAGCTCATAGGCATTAAGTTCCCATCACAGTGGAGAGTCGGTTAGAAGAATGTTAAGAATGTATGTGAGTCAAGGGGTAGATCAGTCTCTCTTCAATGTGGGAGTTTTTGAAGTAGCTCAGAGCTTTCATTGTGCATGGAAAGAATATTGAATATCCTAAATGTACTCAATATTATTACTTGGTTGTTATACAATTAATTACTGTTAAAGGAATAATTTATTCAAATGTACTCACACTCAAGTGGTTATAAACCTTTTTGAGTTTCTTTTGTCTGTCGAACACAAAATGTAAGTGAGAAATGACTTGAGAAATTCTGTTAATGCAAGTTTGCTTCCTAAAAAATCTAAAAAAAATCCCTGCATGAAAAAATAGTACTACATACATTACAATGTTTTAGTAAAATATATGAAAGTATAATCAGTGCTCATTGCGAATTATATATATATATATATATATATTGATACAAAATTAAATAACTAAATATTAGTCACTGCGTAAATGTATTTAATTGAAGTATAGCAAATTTGCAATTTAACTTTAAATTACTATGTTCATAGCTACATTTTTACCTTGGTTTACTTTGGCATATTGGTAAAAACAAACAAACAAACAAACAAAAAGCAAGCAAGCAAGAAAAAATAATAAAAAAACCTGATAGGAAAGCAATACACTTTCAGCCAATTCATAAAAATTCTGAACAATTTTGTGAAATGTGGGAACAATACATAGGTTTCCATAGTTTTTTATACAGTGCAAACTGCATTTTCCATTGGCTTATCCTCCAACCTACCCCTAAACCCAACCCTCACAGGAACTGTACTGTTTTACTTTCTGAAAAAAAAGGAAAAACTTATTCTTTGTGAATTATAAGCTTTTTAAGAAATGTTATAGAAATGCATATTTTACTACCTTCTTGTAATACCTGTGTCATTCCATTATACAGATTTGTGTCCTGATATGTCACAAAACACATACACACACACACGCACATTTATATATGTGAAAAATAAAAATAAAACCTGAAGACATGTAAGCAATCCAAACCACAGCACGCAGAATTGATTAGAATGATGATTGGTGTGTTAGAACACATGCACTCTGTTACAAACCGTGTCTTTAGGATGGCCCATTAGGAAGAAATAGGGGGAGCCATGGTTGTCACTTTTCATGCACATGGAGAGACTGGAAGATACCATTCCTATAAGAGGCGAAGTAACAACCTAGACCAATCATTAGGGTTAGAACAGCAGCCACAGGCTAAGACAGTATTAAGATCAGAGCTGAGATAGTATTCAGTGAGGAAAATTGAGAAAGGAAGGACAAATTATTCACCATAACACTGATGAAAGAGAAGAAGACTAGCTACTGGATTAATATACAAAAGAACATGCTGTCATAACCATGTTAAAAAGAGTGTTGTGTTAGCAAGATAATGGAAAGCTTTTGAATTGTTTTGGGGTTATTAAATATTAGTGTGCAAGAGAAGGATTTTTCTTTGGTAGCTTTGGCTTGATTCTCAACTGATTTTTGGGAAAAGATTTACAATTACTACAATAACTATCAAATGGACATCATTTTTAGTCCCGGTCTTACATAAAGGGCTTAGACTAAGCAAGAATTAGGTCTTAGTTTAATTGAGACATTTAAGTATTTTTTATATATGTGCCTTAGAAAAAATAATTACTGTTGTCTATCTTTAGACAAATACATTCTAGGTATGGAACTAGGTTTAAGCCTTTTTGTGATATAAGAGGATACAATTCTAACTATTTTAAAAATAAGCCATAGCAAAAACTTTAACTGATGGTGAGCTCCTTCTATAAGTACAGATAAAAATAACTAATTTAAAGCATAAAATAATGATGTATAAACCGTGTCAACTAAACACATTTACTGGTCCTGGCGTGAGAAAGTCTGTAGGAGTGTATTATTTCATAATACACACAAGGCATCCTAAATATGTACCATGCTTAAAAGTTTGTGAACCCTTTAGGATCTTTCAGATTTCTGCAAATATGCGTAAACATGACCCCAAACCATCACCTAAAGGTAGACCAACATAACCATAATTTAAGCACAGATAGAGTCAAAACTCAACAGTGCAACTTGTCCTCCAAACTATACAACAGAATACCAATAGGTCATTTTATTGGCCAATTCCCTGAAATATGACCTATAGCTAATAGGAGGAGGAGGAGGAAGGAAGAGGAGGAAACTCTCGCAACATAAAGGTTTTTTGTTTTTGTTTTTGGTGAATTAATGGTTAATTTCTATACATTTGTACCAAAATGAAAATGGCAGCATCTGATAATAGCAATGAGGATGTTTGCACAAGCTCTGTATTTCACCTTACCAATCAAGTCATGCGTGTTTATTAATGTAGCACTTTACATAGAAGACATTGTTTAAAGCAATTATATTACAATTACAATTTTAGATTTAAATGTCAAGCTCTTGATTATATCATCTCTTGATTGTTCACATCTTTCTGACCTTGACAGACTGAACAGAAAAAAATAACCAGAGAAAATCTACATGTAAAAGAAGTGGAGACCCAAAGCCAGATCTACATATAATGTGATTACCATTGATGGAACAATGAATTCTGGTTTCTACCAGCAACTTCTAAAGTAAAATGTCAGGACACCTGTCCTTAAATTGAATCTTAAAAGAAAGTGGGTCAAGCAGCAAGACAATGACCACAGGCACACAAGATGTTCGACCAAAGAGTGGCTAAAGTGGAACAAAGTTAATGTTTTGGAATGGCCAAGTCAAAGTCTTGACCTTAATCCAATTGAAATGTTGTGAAAGGACTCGAAGCAAGCAGTTCATGCGAGAAAACCCAAATAAATATTCCAGAGTTAAAGCTGTTTCGAGCGATGGTTCAAATGCCTCCAAGATGTTGTGCAGGACTGATCAGAAACATTGCTTTCGGTATCTGGTGTGACCGCAAGGTTAGGCTCGCATAAATTTAGAAAGTATCCTCTAATAGATGGCCAAATAGGTTGTTTGTGCAAGTAGCTTATTATGACCTGAAGTTTGGCCTCTCGGGTGTAAAACTAATAAGTTTTATAATGCATGTTTAATCAAAAAACAATTATGACTGTTGCTACAGTACAAATAAAAATACAGGACTGTTTAGAGAGCAAATTACAGGGGGGAGGGTAGTTTGGGGGGAGTGGTGGTGACCCCACTAATTAAGCCTTGATCCCTTCCTGAAGAACATCAAAGCAAGATTTTGCTAATTAGTTTGCACTGACATGTGTCTTAACAGATAATATAAATATACATTTGACAACCCCTATAATAGTTCAGAACCAGTATTGGAACTTATGATTATTGCACTGCTTTAGCGCAATGGTCTAATCGAGCTAGACAAATCAAAAATTTTCACGAAAACAAAACTTTACCACAGTAGAAAAGTGACAAACAAATCAGTTGGAGGACAGGCTGTACTTTTGTCAATCCCAGAATTAATCATCTCATTAGTTTGATTGAATTCGCTTTCATGTCTGAACACTGAATGATGTCTCAGGTCATTTTTATTCAAGAATATTGAAAAATCTAAACTTGGTTCACAAACTTTCAACCATCATTTCTCACCAAACTAATTATGTTTAAAAGACATCTAATAGACATCTATACACAGACGTTTTGGCTAAAACAAGACTAAAGAGCCACCGTACAAGTGAAAAGCTAAAAATAAATAAATACAGAATGCCGTCGTTTGAGCTGCAGATTACTTTATGACAAAGACAGTGCATAAAATAAAGACAGAATGTTGCGATCAGTTGAGAACCCCTACTGTATATGCTTGATTCAGTGACTGGCACACTTCTGCCTTGCTGCTGTTTGGTGTGTGTGTCCATACAATTGATATACTGCCCATAGACATTATAGTAGAAAGCATGGTCCGATTTCAGTTCATTGCTTCGACATGTCAACGTGGCCGCAATCTATTAAAATGTCTAGTGCCAGTCTCTGTTTAGGATTTATGTATGTACGTGAATGTGTGAAGCATCACAAGCAATGTATCAAAATTCCACTGATTTACTGAAATAAACTTTGCATTTCAGGATAATCTAGCACAGCTGTTTGATAATGAGCTAAACTTTCCTTCCTCTCTATGCAGTATTGGATGAACACAATATGTAGCCTATTCCTCTTTCTTTTTTACTTTGGAGAAGAGAGGAGAACAAAGTATCACTGTTTGAACTGACTCTGAAATGTTTTGCGTTTTTCTGGGATGGACTATTTATACGCATCAAAGTTAGTGTACAAGGTTTGTTTACGTGACACATTTTTCACATCAGAAAATTTCAGACTTTAGTGTGCAGAGACCTTAAATTAAGGCTGTCATTACAAAAAATGTAATTAGTCGTCTAACAAAAAAACAAAACAAAAGACTACATCAAATTTTATTTTTGGAAAATTGTTAGAAGTCCATTCGATTTTCACTGACAACCCAAATTTAGCTTTGTAGCCAAGATGTCTATGTTTACACATTTATTAGATGTCTTTTAAATGCAAAAAATGCTTAGTTTTGACAATTTACTATACTATTTTCTTAATAATCAGCCAACAAAAAAACCTCTTCACAGATCTGTCTTGCATTGAAAAAACATATAGTTACTCCATCTCTCATGTCCATTTAAACTATGTAGACATTTCTGAGCAGTATGTTACGCGTTTCAGTGTTAAACCTACCATACTCAGGGACCTGCCCTGTGCCTCTCTTGAGCAACAGGCGAACTCTACGGCCACCCGATTTGATGAGCTCAATAGCCCGAGCGTGGGTCATATCCCTCGTGCTCTCCCCATTTATCTCAATGATTTGATCACCAACCTGCAAAACAGACAAAATAAATTTATCATCCTGGTTAGGATGCATTCAAATCTCTACGTCTGTGAACACAGACATGCAAATGCTTATACAAAAAAATAAGTAATTATTTTCTGACAGATTTGAATTGCATCCTGCATTGAATATGACTGGCATTTATGAAAGATAATTATTCGGTAGGATCAATAAAGGTCTATAACTCATGTCGACAGTTTTTGTTAAGCGCTAATCAGCATTAACAGTCATGAATGAGATCGAGCAGCAATTAATTTGAGAATTAGCATCACTAATGAATTATGCGTTTGAGGCTTCTAAGAGGTACAATTCTGATGCTCTTCATCAACTTTGAGTAAGGTGTGCGGCTGCTGTGGATAATGAGGGAATGGTTAATTAGCCTTCCTATATGAAAAAAAGGAAGCTGGTATGTTCAATATTTCAACAATTAGCTTCCCGGCAACTGGTGGGGTCTTATTTTTAAAATTCTGTTTTAGCTTTGAATTCATCTTCATTAAAGCAGAGCCATCAAAATGACGGTAGTGTGACGAATCCATCGCTTTCAACAATACATTTCAAGACAATTACTGTCAGATTGTCAGATCATGCGCCGTGAGCAATATAACTGTTATTATGCATATTACGCATCTCAGATTTTGTGTGGGCTAAGATACTTTTGTGCAGTAAAAAAAGATTATACATTTTTAGCCTGTTCATTTTGGAAGAATCTGTGTCAGTTGCTTAGTCTAAGTAATGTGCAGCCTTTACCATTTATGAGTATTCACATACAGATGGATGTAAAATAAATAAATGAATAAAGTAATGATAAAACAGAGACAATTTGAGACTCTTGCATTCCAATTACTAAAGTATAGAGACAATATTATAAAACCACATACTAAATCTAAATATATTTTTAATTAAAACAATAAATATTATATATATATATATATATATATATATATATATATATATATATATATATATATATATATATATATATATATAAAACCAGACAAAAGTCTAGTGGCCTATTCAAGTTTTAGGAACAACAAATAATAACTTAACTTTTAGTTGATCATTTGGTATCTGAAATGGCTGATATGAAAGGCAAAGGCCTTTAGATTACGCTTATTTTACCAAAATAAAATATGATCATGCCTTGACTTTTAATTATTTAATTAGGACAGTAAGGTCTGTCTTTGCTTAGACAAAACTCTTGTCACTCTCCTGTGGTTTGTAATGTAATGGGCAGCACAAATGTCTTGATACCTCAAGCTGTTGATGTTGCCATCCACTCTGCAGATCTCTTGCACGCCCATATACCTAATGTGACCCCAAACCTTGATTTTTCCTTCACCAAACTTGACTGATTTCTGCTAGACTCTTGGGTCCATGCGGGTTCCAACAGGTCTTCTGCAGTATTTGTTATGATTGGGATGCAGTTCAACAGATGATTCATCTGAAAAATCTACCTTCTGCCACTTTTACAAATGATCAACTAAAAATCAAGTTATTACGTGTTGCTCTTACAACTGGGATTGACGACAAGACTTTTGTCAGGTAGTGTATTCATAAATTAATATATTTTATTACATTATTTAAAAAAAGTATTTCAAATGACTAATAACGTATTTTAATATTACTTATATACTAATATTAAAATACATATCTGCTAATCAGTTATTAGTCAATTAAACATATCATTTATAAGACAATTATATTAAAAACTAAATAATAACCAATAATTTGAAAGACATTTTTTCTCTACCTAGATGCTTTATAAATTCCAGTATATTCTCCCTTAAAAGCACAACAAACAATGTAGAAAAAGATTGCATATTTTTGCCCCTAAAACAGGAAATTCTGCCCACATATATGCTGATGCAAAGCATGTAGGAGCATTGAACTTGTCTTGTGTCTATGGACTAATTGGCCTGGGGCTGGGGAAAATGAACGAGCCAATTATAGTAACAAATGGAGAATTCCTCTCAAATGGTCTGTATAATGTGGAAGCCTGGGCAGGTCGGCAAGTATTTTTTTTTTAATGACTCATTAAGATCTTGTTTGAATGAGGGGCAGAGAGTACTATGACTCTCTCATTATTGACAAGGAGTGTCTGGTTTTTTGTTCTCGGGGACGGTTCCTCTGACCTCAGAGGTGAAGAGTGTTAGTAAAAGCACCGTCAGCAGCCCTATTATGCTTTCAGTGTTACTAGAAGGCACGTGTGAGAAAACTACAGCAGCGGCAAGTGTCTTCTGATGGCTTTATGACTTCATGCTTAATGGAGTTTCGAAATACCACAGGTCTGTTCCATCACAAACTAATTATAGTTTTAGGAGGCATTTTGTGCTGTGGTTAAATTCACACCCCGATTGAAGGCAAGATGATGTTTACAGTCAGAGTGGAGGATCTTGAAAGGAAGGGAACAGTCAGTGTTTATGATGATCAGCAGGTAATGTGCTAAATATGAAAGGATTTAATGAGAGGAAGAAGACAGGGAATATCCTGAGGGGACTGTTTTATTCACATTAGCTATGACAGATTCATTACGGCTGAGATGTGAACAGAGAACAGAACAGAACAGTAGAAAATGGATAGATGGTTGGAGAGACAAACAAACAGACAGACAAACAGATGTATGGACAGACAAAGATAGATAGATAGACAGACAGACAGTTAAATAGATGGATGGATAGAAAGACAGACAGACAGACAGATAGACAGACAGATAGGGATGTCATCTCACCCTCATCCTCCCATTGCGTATGGCTGGTCCGTCTTCAGCCAATCTCAGAACAAACAGGTCCATCTTATACTCACGACCTCCACGAATACTAAAGCCAAAACCTTTCATCCCCTTTTCCAACTCAACCGTGAAGAAATCAAAATCCTGCAAACACACACACAACCATAAAGACATTTCTGTAATTTTCTGTAACATCCATAATGTATGCTTACTGTAAATTATCTGTCAAGTGTCACCTAATACATTCATAGAGTACATAGTCATTAGGGCAAAACAATGAATAACATTTGCAATAATATTTTGATACTATAAAATGTGATTTTTAAAATGCAATGCAATTAGACTTCATGTGGGGGTCATAAGAATATTGTGTAAGCAAAGAGCATGCATGTATTGTGTGGTCCTTTAATGTACAAATCAGCAAGCCACAATGAGAATGCAGTTATGTATATAGTATATGTTTTGATCACCAGCTGGAGTGCCCAAGACCTCGACTAGAAGGCACTCCACCCATTACCTCTGTCACCCAGACTACATTTCCCACATATAATAACACTTTCTAAATGCTAAGCAATGGGGTTTTCAAGTCTTACTTTGTCTTTGTTCTTTGCTGGTGTTTTTAGTTTATGCTGGAAAAGCATGTAATGTACTGTGGAAGTAGCTAAACGATCAACAAATGTAATCATAAAGTAAACACAAAACAAAATTATCCAACTAAATCTCCTTGGGACTCGAGACTTGTGAAACACTCTCGCCACCAGCCTTGATACGCTCTCATTGCTCTTATGCTGTGTTCCTACCAGACACGGCACAAGCGAATAAATCATACTATTCACGCAAAAATAGACGCGTGAACATTTTGAGTTTACTTGCTTCATTTGTGCGTCATATTAACTTTACAATAGATATGGATTTGCATCTGCCTGTTGACTCTAGCTTTGTAGCTAGAAGGCTAACATGGATTTTATTGAGATAGTAGCTGTGTTTATGTGCTTTAGGCAGGCTGAAAATCATCGGGGTTGTGTCCGAGTCCACTAGATCCTTTCAGAGGTACACCCAGCTCTGTGGGTTCATCAACTCCTCCAGAAATTATACCTGGATGATGGAGGATTTCAGCGGTGCTTCAGACTGAGCCGAGCCCAGTTTGATGAACTGTTGTCCGGTGTCAGGAAGAGGATTTCCCCTCAGGACACCAATAACAGGCACTACGTCATAATCACTTCCCTATAAGAGCAAGCACATAATTGGTTAACATGGCACAAATGTCCACTGAAGTTCAGATTTTCCAACTTGAGCAGCATTAGCTCCAACCACACTGCTCCCAATTATTTTTTTTTTTTGAGAGGTTAAGTCAGAGTACATTAATGTGTAAGCAAATGTGTGAAGACTACACAGGACTCACCATGTAGACTTCTTGCAGAAGTTTTAAATTAGATTTAATGGGGAACAGGTGGACTAATAATCAGTGCAACGTGTTGTGGGAAATGTAGTTCGGATGACTGGCTGAGGAAATGTATAGAGGGCTCTCTACTGGAGCTCATAAGCACTACAGTTGCTGATCATCACAGTAAATATGATTGTTTTAATTATGAGTGACCAAGCTTGAAACATTTATTTTATGAAGATTTTTAGAAAAAAAAAGTGTCAGTCATTTTTGTTCGCTTGTTCCATGTTTATTTTTGAATAATACAGAATATAAAAAAAAACAGCACATTAAATCACAATCGCACTATTGGTCATGGTGAAAGAACTAATGGAATGAAATGAAAGAACTGTGGCATCCTGCTGTCCGGTAATAAAAATGTGCAAGGGTCAGCAGGCATCAGCCTGTAGTCCACTATAGATAGTGGTCACTATAGGTCCAATATAATTGCACTGTAGTCACTATATCGCAATTAGATTCTTTTCTAAAAATTGTTTAGCTCTAATAGTCATGATATTCACCTCCTGATTATTAAAGAATTATATAAAGCAGTGAGCATTTATACTCCTTATAAAACTGTGGGAGAGAGTGAAAGAACTACCTGTGGCATCCTGTAGTCTGGTAAGGGAAAGGTGCGAGGGTCAGCAGGTAGCGGTCTGTAGTCCAGCAGTGGTGGGTGTCTGTAATCCAGCGTTGGGGGCTGTCTATAATCTGCTACAGGAGGGTGTCTGTAGTCCACCGGAGGTTGACGGTAATCAGTAAATGGCTGCCGAATGTCGGGTTTTACATCCTGCCTGGCTTTCACCTCTGACCTGTAGCTAAAAAAATACTTTTATTTACATATGAGCAAGTGTGCAAAAGTGTTTGAGCGACAGGAAAGCTTGCATCCAATCAGATGGTAGAATATATGTAAAAAGAACTCATGCTGTTTACTCAAATTGAAGTATGCTCGAATGCATGCAAATCTTCGACCACGTCTATGGTGTTTATTGTCAAGCTTGTCTGCGGCAATTCAAAATAGTATCTTTTATCAGCCATGAAAACTATAATACATAAACACATAACAGGAATGAGGAAATTCTCAAAATATTTACTCTGTTTATGTCTGTTTACCAGCAGAAGCTGTCAGAAACGTCTTGCCGCTGACGGAACTACAGCTCTAATGAATTTTAAAGTTTAATGCAGGATAATGTTCTGTTGAAAATGGCGGAGCCCGAGGAGCTCTAGGGTGTATATTGAAACTTGAGAGAGCATGGAGAGGAAGTGAAATCATTGGTCCCTGCAGGCTACATGAATGATTAAAAACTGTTTTAAAGAGCCGTGCAGGTAAATTATTCAGTTCTGTGAAAGATAAGTGATTTTACGCAACTACCTAATAGTGAAAGACTGTCTGTGAGTCAGAGAGCTTCAGATTCACTCTATAAATAGAGAACTTTAGGGAGTTTTACTGTAACTTGATGACAGAACTAGTTTAACTGGACACTTCTGTACAGTTATATATTGGTTAACGGGATAGTTCATAGTTAATCAATTCTGTCTTCATTTACATGTTCAATAACTGTTTAAGTGTCTGTTAAACACAAAATAAGTTTTAATGAAGATTGTTAGAAACCGACAGACATTGACTTTTTATTTTTTCCTAATGTGAATGTGAGTGGCTACCAGTTTCCAGCATTCTTTAAAATATCTTCGTCAGTGTTCAACAGAACAAAGCTTGGAAAATAACTTGAAGGTGAGTAAACTTTAAGCAATTTTCATCTTCATCTATCACATTTCCAGGATTCTCAGAAGTCATCATCATTGGTTAAACTTCTAAAGTCATAAGTAATTTTTTTGTATTGCTAAAAAATGTCAATAGCTTTTTAAAATAAGGGAGAAAGTATTGAGAGCTTTATTACATTTATTAGAAGAGAAAATTGTCAAATTTGTTGTCACTCATACATACTCAAACTACTTTACTTGTCACAGTTGGGTTTAGTTGAGTTTAATGTAATGTAACTGCCACTGGTGAAGGCTGAAACAATTTTACAGATGCATGTTAAAGTAAACACGAGGCTATATTCGCTTAACGCTTTTTCAAGTTCAGTGTTTTATGCCAACCATTACCTAATGGCCTGTTTCCACTGAGTGGTACAATACAGCACGATATGTTTCGGTTCGGTATGCTTTTATGGCCGTTTCCACTGTAAAAAGGTACCTAAAAGCAAACCATACCACTTTTTAGGTACCCTTTGCAAAGGGTACAACAAAAGGGTACGAAAAGACGAAGCAAGATAACTGAACGCTATTGGTTTACAGAGATAAGTCACTCGCTTGTGCAACAAGCCAAGTGAATAAAAACAAAGAACCCGCCATTTTTAAAAACACAGCCGAGAAATTACACGTTAATAATATATACAAATGGTAACAAGCCATGGTCGACCAGAGCTCAAACAAGCCTTGACGCCTTGATGAACAGCCACAGTCAAGAAGAAGAGCAGAATCTTCCTTATGTCCGGTGGTGGTTAACAAGGCAGTCTAAAGCGCAAGCGGTTTTGCTTTCTCATGTGCATTCGCCGCGCATCTATATTTGAAATAACAAACTTCTTGAGCTGATGATAATAATGTGCGCGTGATTATTTAAGTGGTTCTGACATTCGATTCTTTCAGAAACAGACAAACACGAGATTGACCAGTGAAAAAACAAAAGAGAAGCCCCAAAAAAACAAATGATTGTTTCAGCAACCAAAAAAAAAAAAAAAAAAAAATTGACAAACTGCCATGTTTAACTATTATCATCACCTTTTGGACTATTAGGAACTCAGAATGATGGAATTACTTTCTAACAAGAGGTTACATGTGCTGGTGAAGATTAAATATATAGATGAGAGGTTTGCACTGACTCTGGGCTTTATGTTGTGTGTGGTTTTTGAACCCAAAAAAGAACTAAATCTATGCTGTGTATAGTTTTTCTGTAAATTGGGACTGTAAGAGTCTGTATGTGTTCATATACTGTATGTTGCATTTATTTATTTAATATAATTGCAGACGTTGCAGTAGGCAATTTTTATCATTGATCTGCAGTTATAATCAAATCATGTTCATAGAGAGGGTAGTAATGAACATTTATATAAGTATTTATGTGTATGAAGCATCTGTGTTGTGAGAAGTGCTTCTCATATGATATTTTAACGACCCTTACAGCTTTACTTTGACATTTCCTTGAGCGAGAATGCCGTTGACTGAAACTTTCTGTCGTACACCATGTCCACCAAAAGAGTACTATTGGTACCCTTTTACCAGTGGAAAGACAAGCTTGTTAAAGGTGACCCGTACCGACCCCTACCCTACTGTACTGTACCACTCAGTGGAAACAGGCCATTAGGTTACCTGCCTTATTTTCACACAGTGCCACCAAGTGGTCAGGATAAATGAAATATATATCTTTTTGCTTACAACTTATGAACATTTCAACAAATATTAAATTAAAATGCCTAAATCCATTTGAACCCTAAAAATGTCTGATTTCAACTATATATTTTTTTAGTTTATTTGTAATGTATTTAGACAAAATTTATGGAATTTTAATTGTGGCATTGACCTTTCAAGCTTTTGACACAGTGTTCTGTTGGTCAACACAGCAAATTCGATTGACCAACATGAACCTGTTGCCAAATCTGTGTTTTACGTGCAAACACAACATTTCACCTCACACATATTAATTTTTTTGCAATTCAGATTCCTACTTGCTTTAACTGAAGAAGAGTGTAAATGCATAATATATTAATAGGTTTTGCTCAATTTTAATAAGCAATGGTAAAAATGACTAGCACATTAAAATATTATTTAATGTCCTCAACAAATGTCCAAGGAACTGAGCAACCATCAGGGTCAAACACTATACACATTTTCTTCAGAAAACAAAGTGTCAACCTAAAAATAGTGTTGTTGTAGTAGTAAACCATTAATCCTGAAAACCATATTTAAGCAATAAAGTAATTTAAGTTAGTTTCTTGCCTGCTGTCGTGGCTGTAAGTTTGTACTGGCTGAGTTTGCGGGTTCTGTTGGGTCACTGAGCTGGGATGATTGGCTGGGCTGTTTTGAGTGACAAGGCTCGGCTGTGCTTCTGAAATGGGTTGCTTTATGGGACTGGGTTGAGGAGCAGAGTTTTGTTGAGCATTGGAGTTTGCTAGAGGGGCTGCACCGGTCTGGTTCACAGTGTTAGGTTGACACACTGGACTTGGCTGGGCCATAGGACTTTGCTTCTCTGAGCTGCCTGCAGAAGGAGTGCTGTTAGTCTCTGAAAAGTGGAGAAAAGACAAAATATAAGTAATTTCTAAATCTTATCTTTGTTATACAGGTGTCTATATTTAACATCTGTTAAGGTAGCAGATTAAAGGTTACATGAGTGCAAAAAATAACCATGGCTTTTGATAGCTTTTTGCATGTACTTTCTGTGGTCTTTTAGAAGCAAATTTATTACAATAATTGAATAAATTTGCATGTCAGTTTTCCATCCTGCAGTGGTAGTTCATGTAAGTGTGAAAAATTAATCTTTTTAATAAGGCAAAATCAATATTAAGTCCAGTTTACAGTATTTGTTCCAAGATCATAGACACATTGATTTATCTAAAGTGGTCAAATGTGGCATGTACAAATAAAAAACTAAATATTATTTTGTGCATGTATTAAATTTGCCAAGTTTTAAAGCTCATGAGCTGCATTTTCAATATCTTTCATATTGTGCAACTGAAATTAAAATAGAAAGATCGCTGTCATGCAAATATCCACATTTAATAGAATCTCCTACATAGTATATCACATATCATATTTATTTACAATTTTTATGATTACAATGTAATGAAAATGTGTATTTACATTGTGTTAAACGGTGCCACAGAATGCATTGATTCAATGTGTTAAATTGATCTCTAAAACATGCAGGCAGTAGGGCTGCATGATTTTGGAAAAATCTGATATTACGACATTTTATTTTTCTGCAAGAAATATTGTGATATGAATAGTTTCAAAAATCAACATACATCTAAGAGCAAGTAAAATATTGTTTTGTTTTCACTGTCAGAAGAAATAATTCAAATTTAAGAGTTTTTCCTGAAAACAAGCAACATTATCTGCCAGTGGAGTAAGTAAAATGATCTTGTTTTCGCTTTGAAATTTAAATATAAACAAAACAAAAATTCTAAGTAAGACTTTTTCTGTCATAAATCATATAAATTTCATATAAATACAGTGACTGGATACAATTCTGTAGCTCGTAGTCACTTCTTTGCGAAGTGAATATTGTGGATGTACACATTTTGATATCGATGCTTAATAGGTACTTAAGATGCTCAAAACTTCTCATATCCAAAAATTAGCCGCAGAGTAAAGGCAAAAGGGCCAACAAGTGCTAAGCATCTCTGGGAACTCCATCAAGACTTTTGGAAGACCATTTCAGGTGACTACCTCTTAAAGCTCATCAAGAGAAGGCCAAGAGTGTGCAAAGCAGTAATCAAAGCAAAAGGTGGCTACTTTGATGATACTAGAATATGACATATTTCTGTTGATTCACACTTTTTTGTTATGTATATAATTCCACATGTGTTAATTCATAGTTTTGATGCCTTTAGTGTGAATCTACAATTTTCATATTCATGAAAATAAACAAAACTCTTTGAATGAGAAGGTGTGTCCAAACTTTTGGTCTGTACTGTATGTTAAATTAACGAAACAAACATTAACAGACTTTATGGCTCTTTGGTTTGAGACTGAATACGTTTATAATCCGTATATCCTGCATTTTGCATTCTGATGAACTGTGAACACTCCATTTTCATGCATGGCTGCCTGTTTGACAGATCTGCTCCTTTTTACCACTTCCATTTTCAAAATAAGAGTCCTACACACATAGTATGATTTATACAATCTTTAATAATCTTAAAAAATAAGGAAAATTTGATTGTTGTAACCCCAGTATGAAACCTTGTGGGCAATCAAACAGCCTGTGGTGTGTATATTAACCACACAGTGTGGACCATCAGAGTGTGTGTTCCTTTCAATGCACTAAACTCTTGCTATTCAGTTATGCCTAAGTACTGTATATCCAGATTTTCATTCAATGGCATCTTTATTCAATAAGGAAAGCTATAAATATGGCATGTCTCCACACCCAATAAAGAATGACCTTTTCAAATGGCATCATGTGGCCATCTAAAAACAGCAAATATAAGAACTGTTTTATCTTAATTGGTTTGTTTTTTTAACTGCTTAAATAAGTGCAATTTGTGTGGCACAGTTTTCCACTTTGCAGCCTGGTTCTGAGTGCTCATAAAGGCACACTACTAAAATTGTACTACTCTGCTGGAGTGTAAAAAACAAATAAGATCAATACTTGGATTTTGGTGGATTTTTACTTGGATTAACGTAGATACTAGGTGCTTATCAAGATGTAGAAGTGCTGCAATAATGTACAGCGTGTGAGAAATCTACAATGTGTTATGAAATTTTACATTTATATTTGAAACACAGTTTTTAACAATTTTCTCCCTAAACTGATCTCTAAAACACTCCTACCATCACTTTCCCCTACCCTCTGTTAAAATCAAGTAGTCCTTTCCCAACCTAACTCATTGGATGAGCTAATTGAATGACAGTTCAATGCTCAGGAAGTCAACAAATAAATGTCCTATTTATAATAATCTCTGCATCTTAGATTAAATAAGCCATATAACAAAAGCATAATTACAAGCAGCCGCTTCAATAGCAGACATACATCCTCCCAGTCGTCCACTCACCCTCCTGAGGGATGATCCTGAGTGTGACACTTAGTCCGGCGTCCTTGATCAGTTTGACGATGTCGGCATGCGGCATGTTGACGATTGATTGATTGTTGACGGCCAGAATACGATCTCCAACCTTAAGCTTCCCACAGTGGTCTGCTGGACTTCCCTCAATGATGCGGCCGATCTTATGAGGCACAGCTAAAAACACACACATACAAGCAGTTTTATTTTTTTACGTAATACGTGGAGAGAGCTCTCTATCTGCACTCTGTCCTTTCCTGTTAGTGGAGCTGTTTTTATATACGAGCGTGGGCGCTGCATTAGAACATTGTAACTAGCCTCTTCAGCCCTCAAATAGAAGTGCATCCATTATTAATACGCAGGTTTATGAGGACATGCTGCACTTTTAAAATCACTATGACCCTCTGAAACAGCCCGCCTGTGTGAGCTATTACAGTAATGGAATGTCCCAGATTGAAAAGAAGTTAAAGTTAAAGTGTTGAGAAATAATTGTTCCATACCAGCAGCGGCTGCAGTTTCGGGCCTGTTTAGTGAACTGATAATGACAAATCCGAATCCTTCGGTCTCCTTGCGCTGGATGGATACGTCATTAGGCTGTGCATTCTGATTGGCTGCTGTGTCTGGAGGGGAGGAGCCTGTGGTGGATGGGGCGGAGTTTTGAGAGGGGGCAGAGTTGTTACAGAACATTCGGGAGTTGAAGTCACTTCTCGGGGAACTGTGTTGTGTTGATCCAGGACTGCGGCCGTTCTCTGGAAAAGGTTCGCCTGAAGGTAATACAGTAAGAGAGAGCAGATTTTTCAGAACATTACATTTTCATTGCTTGGGCAGATGAAGTTAGAAGTTTAAGACTCTGAGTTTTGATACTTTCTTACATATATCTGAGTAATTGGTGGTTCATTTCACTGTGGCAAGCCCTGTTAAATCAAGGACTAAGTCAAAAAAAATTGAGGAAAGGAAGTGACATTTTCTTACATAATAGCATACTGAGATTCAAAGGTTTGGGGTCAGTATTGCACAGTGTGTACAAGAGACCCCTTGTTCTTTTATTTTTTAGATATTTGCTTTTGGTAAAACTTTAAGTTTTTTTTTAAGGATTTTAAGGTGTCCTTGCTACATGTTCCATGTACCTACTATACTAATTACAATTAATAAATGCTAAACACTTTGACTGTTAAAGTAATTTAGACTGTTTTAAATATTGATTTAACTACACAGCATTGTTGGTTTACAATGAAAATCCAACACATAATCCTGTTGCACTACTACACTTGACTTTGGTTTTATTGTAAAAAACAAACAAACAAGAAAACATGTTAAATGAGAATCTGAAATGTTTTTATAAAAAATAAAGATGATTTAGCATTAAAAAATGTTTTATTTTGATTCTTTTTAAAAATAAATTGTTTGTACACTTTATATCTTCTGATTTTTATAGTAAACCAACCGTAAACGGTTGAAATTTTAGAAATTATGGGATGTGTTGAAAAAAAAAGAAGTTTTTTTTTATTGATTGTGTTAATATGAATTGAGTGTATTAACACACACAAACATAGGGAGAACATGCAAACTCCACACAAAAATGACAAACAAGCCAGTCGAGGCTTGAACCATCGACCAGTGCAACCCACTGTGCCACTGTAATGCCCACTAGTACTATTTTTTTTCTTGGTGGGGTAGTTAAAAGGATAATTACATGCAACTAATCGTCATCCTGACCCAAACAATAGAGTACGAACATGTAATTAATTCATATTACTCAGGAATGAAATTAATAGTTACACTGTAACAAGGGCACCTTAACATAAAGTATGTTTTATTTAAAATTTTAAAATGTTTATTTTTTTATGATTTTTTTTGTTATTTTTATTGGTTGTATTTCTATGTTTATATATCATGAAATATGTCAACTTATTTTATATTTTAAAATAAGTTGACAAATTTCATGACTTTTTTAAAGTTTATTTTGTTTAAATAAATATTAATGTTTTAATGTTATTGTTTAAGTCATTTGTTTTATTGTTTTAGTTCCAGGTATCAATCAATCAATCAATCAATCAACCAACCAACACAGAAACAAACAAAATATATGATGCTGCATAACTGTTTACAGCAATAAATATGATAATTTTATATTAATTTCTGAAGAATCATGTGACTTTCAAATATTTCATATTTAACAAAGCTCATTAATTCAGCTTTGAAAGAAGGAAACTATTTACTTTTTAAAATACAATTGTAAAACAAATATATATCTAAAAAAAAATGTTTTAATTGTAATAATAATAATTCAAAATGTTACTTACACTTTTAACCAAATGTGATCCCTTTATTACTTACTAAAACTCATAATGCTTTTATAATACTGGTCACACTTTGCAATAAGGTCTTGCTATTCAATGAATTTACTAAAATGAACCACTGTAGTAACTTACTTCATACTTGTACAGCATTTATTAATCATAGTTCAACATTTACTAATGCACCCAATGAACTGTGAGCTAACACGAATTAACAGTGAAGAACTTTTTCCATTAACTGACTTTATTAAAGATGAATAAATACTGTAATAAATGTATTCTTCGTTGTTTATTCATGTTAGATGATACATTAACTAATGCAACCTTAATGCAAAGTGTTACCTTAATACTTAATAATATTCACCACATTTCCACACGATTCTCTGTTCATATGCATATTTTAGATGCAGCAGCAGGTATCACCAAAGTGTATGTGTGTGTGAGTGAAAGACACAGTAGTATAAAGTTTGTCTAAAGCTGGTCTGAAGGCCCTCTGTGATCAAACGGCAAACCAAAAAAGCCAAAACCCAGACATTTCCCCAAGATGCAAAGGGGGAGAAGGGATTGTCCAGGGAAGATAAGACTGAGAGGATGAGTCAGACAGCACAATCTGATCCTCAGCTCGCTGAAAATTATTAGACAGAGTGGACGAGACAGACAGATAAAGAGAGTAACAATATAACACAGGCTGCTTCATTACCTCCATTATCTTCATTATCACCTTCACATGACAGAAATATATCCTTCGCAGCAGTCTGTAATTGCTGTAACTGACTGGAAATAACAAGCTTTAGTCTTTAAAGGTTGTTTCTTTGGCTTTACGTCTCAAGGGTTTGTTCTTATTAAAACAAATTTCTGTTGTTTTTCTCCTTTTGATATGCAGTTCACTGTGCTGAAAACATTGTATAATGCTTACATTATTTATGCTGCTTTCAAATGCCTTTCATGTGCAGATTGTATTGCTTTACTTTGATCAATACCCAGACTTTAAATTCTTAACTCTGAGAATTGATTTTCAAATTAATATGACATATCAAGCTGTAAAAGCTGACAAAAAAGAAACAGCAGGAATTGTCAGGTAGTATTACACTCATGTCACAATAGTTGGACATATAAAAATATATGTAAAAAATAATAAACTGAAAAACAAGATTAAAAAAACAGTTGTAAAACATTGCAAAGCTTTTTTTTTCCAGTAAATATATAAAATCAGACATTTTTTATTTTGTTGCGATAGCAGTGTTGGGTTAGTTACTTTAAAAAAGTAATTACAATGATTGCATCATTAAAATTGTATTTGAAAGACTTTTCTAATTACTTTGTCTGAAAGGTAACTTAATTACTTGACTAAACACTACTTAAAATCCACATTAAATCCTAATGCATATACAATAGAAATTAAACTCTTTAAACATTTTTACAACAGAACCTTTTAATCAATAACACCATATTTTATTGTTGGACAGATCTAACATTCTTTAGTTTAAAAAATCTGTCTATCATAAAAAATATGTGAATTATACACACACACACTCACACACACACACACACACACACACACACACACACACACACACACACACACACACACACACACACACACACACACACACACACACACACACACACACACACACACACACACACACACACACACACACACACAATTACTCTGTATCTCTGAATTTATGCCTTATGTTTTCATGAACTAATTTTTCACTAGTTATTTTTTTAATTTTTTATATTTATAAGTATATTTTAAATATTCATTTTTTAAGCATGTTCAATTGTCTTGATAAATATAATCTTTAGTTTAAAATGTTAAATTATGCAGAATATATATTTTTTCTAATTTGATATATACTGTACAGAACAGTTAAATTTAACTATGTTTTATGTATGTTTGTATGTAGTTATGTAATGCTTAAGTACATTATAAGTAACTGTAATTAAATGATCGAAAAATGAAAAGTAATCACTTAATTTTTTTTAGCAAAAAAGTAATTTATTAGCTGTAACTAATTACTTTGTAACTAATCATACACAATACTGAGTGATCATCCTTTTCACTATTTTTATAAAAAGTGCTTCGAATTTTGTCTAAATGTTAACTTTATAAACAGTGCTTAGCATAATTGAGTACAGCCCATTTTAAAAATGAAAATTTGTATCCATTTCTCAGTGAATAAAGGCAATATATTTCGGTGTATGCACAAACATAATATTGTATATCCTTCTACTGAAAATATTTATTTAAAGGATAGATTTGTGAGGAGTGTACTAAAATATGCTGAGCATTTTATGTTTATGAAGCACCAGTCCTACCGCACCCAACCCGGTTTGATCTGGGATCGAACCGGCAATTCATTGCATAGGAGTTGGATGCTCTAACATGGAGGCTAAAGACCATGACCTCTGGCGTTTGTAGCACCTTTTGAGGCAAGAGGAGTGAGTTTTACCTGCATAGCACTTTGGTAGCTGGCCTCCATTACATGTTAGTACTAAATCACAAAATAAATGTATACATTCTCAAAAATACAGGTACATGAGCTGTCACTGGTGTGATATCTTTACAAAAGGTACACATTTTTACTTAAAGGGTCCATATTGGCACCTCAAAAGTATATATTAGTACCTAAAAACGTTTAGGAGGAAAACTTTTGTACATTTTATGTACTAACATGTATCCTTGATGTATTAATATGGACCTTTAAGGTACAAATTTGTAAGGTATCACCCCAGTGACAACTGGAGTACCTTTATTTCTTATAAAGAGTGTATAATTCATTTATTAAAACTGCACAAAAATGTGAAAGCCACCATAGAAAACGTGTTCCCCATTGAACAGTGTTAGTTGTCGAAACAAACATAATGTGTCACCTGTGGGCTGAACTCTTCGTCGTACAGTGAGCTTGACCTGTCCCGTTCGGGCTGCCCCATGCATGAGGTCAATGACGTAACGGTGAGGTTTTCCAGCCACCACGATCCCATCGACTGAAATCAGCTCATCTCCAGGCCGCAGACGACCGTCTTTATCAGCAGGACTCTTCTCAATGATCGCCCCAATCAGGATCTGCACAGACACAATGCTGTCACCACACACTGTTCTAAAGGTCTCCTTTACTTCAGCAGCTTTATTTGATGTAGCTGATGTAATTTCAACGGATACTTGAAAGCTGCATGGAGTACATTAAGTTGCTCCTCCCCCTTTTAAAATTAGCCAATAGCGTTTTTGTTTATATCAAAGCTCTGTTAAGCTTAAGTAAATCTGACTCATAAAAGAAAACGAAAAGTCTTTACTAGCAATGCAAACTATTTCTACTCTTTGAAATACAGCAATCAGTGAAATTCGCTTGCGAAAACAGACTTTATTCGGTCAGTGGAAATAATATTTACACTGTCTGAATTCATATCAATCATTTAGAAAATTGTAATTGTGTGTGCCCTATTTTTCACATTCCTAGTGGCTCGTATGCTGACATTGTGTATGCGAGTGTGCAATGCATATTAATAACAGCACATTTCAGCAGCTTGGCATTTCGTGCTCCTCCCCGTCATTGTTACGAATAATAAAATACAAGTTATTAGTTATTTAACTCAAGTTCAGTTACTGTTTATTATTTTCTTACTGTAAATATACAAGTATTTAGGTGAACTCTAGGCTTGAACCATAAACAAAGGGTGTAACTACACAAAGTCACGATACACATCTCAATTTTCAAACACAATATAATATTATCTTGATATTGAATACTATAAAAAATAAGATATGACATTTGAGGTTAAAGTATACCCTAAACAATATATTGCTCAATATTGTAAATGAAATAATTTACATTTGCAATAAGCATTGGCGCATTTTTATTTCTCGATAATACGATGTATCCCTACACGCCTACATCACCCATAGGTTTTTAAAGATACTAGTGGCCAGAGCCAACCATTGTTATCTTGGAGGCACGACACACTGACCACTTCCACATCAAAAAACAGGCCGGATGTGGGTGGAGCTAGAGATTCCTGGTTGCATTTTCCTTGTATTGTTTTTTCTTTGGGTGAAAAGCTTAACACTTCTTTAAAAGTGACTATTTTGTGCTCTGGCCACATGTGCTTGGTTGTATCATTTAATAATAATTCATTAGTCATGATAAATATTATTCTTGTGACATTTTTCAACAACTTTCTTTAAAATGCTACAAATATAGTCTGTGTTAATAAATGCTAGGCTATTTACAGTATGACAGCATTTCAGATGACCAATTTGTCAGATTGTGGAGTTCATTGAGGTTTTAAAAAATAAATAAAGAATTTGAAAAGAATTGTATGCATTATAAATAAAATTATGTAAAAATATTAATTGCTGGAAAAATGGAGGCTGAAGCACAATTAACTACATGACATGCCATATTATTTGATAAATGTAAGAAATAATCCAACACAAAATAACAAATATGACAAACATGCTAAGTTCAATGTCTGGAATTAGCTGAGGTGACATGAAGGCCAGCAGCAGATATCTGCCATGTCCTTAATTTTTCAGAATATTAAGGCCTAATATAATTTAAACAGATAAGTTTGAAAGCAATTTTTGTACCAGACTGTAATTTTTTGCTGTAAAGTTGGGCATTTTAACAATTGCGAGTCTTTGGAACTGACTTCCTTTCTGATCAGTTGATGAATTGCAATTTCAGTCACCTCCGCATTGCCTTCATAAGAGACCAAGAGGTTGCCAATTGGTTTGCATAGTCAATTTCATGCGAACAAGTGACTTGTTCAATTTCAGCTGAAGCTTGTAGGGGAGAGACTTCAGATACAAGACAACACTTGATTGGTCAGAACATCTATTGAAACACTGAAGTTCTCATTGATGTCATAAAATAATTTTCATCCATACTAATTAAAGTAAATGTCTTTTAAATGCAAATTTAGTAATTGTTTTGAAGCACAATAGCTTATTGATGACCTTAAGATTGACATATTAATGTTAACACCCCAATGAATGTTAACTTTGACTTCAGGGGGACTTTAAAGCTGTATATGGACATCAAAAGTTTAAAGCAGACATGATGTTATGATGTTAGCCAGTAGCAGTGACAGTTGTTTTAGGAAGCATGTGCGTTAGTTTTGAAGTACGAGCCTTCTCCTGAGCCTTCGGACTCACAGGCTGTCCTGGTTCCTCTCCGCCCAGGATCCTGAAGCCAAAACCGGACTTCTGTCTGCGTAGGTGCACCTCCACCTCCTGGAACTCTGCTGAAGACACACAGTGCTTCACACTTTAGTCATTTCTCCACACTACTCTCATAATTCAAGGGTAATTTAGTGCTCTAGTTGACATTTAAGACCCCCATTTTTCTTCACAGACTACTTAATTTGTTAATTCGTCCATTTGATGTTCTTGAACTTGTATTGAGAGGTTCATTCTCAAGGCAAGGAGAATGATAAGTGGCATAAGCTGACAAAAAATGTAATGAAAATTACCTGTATAAAATTTGTCATACGTATTTGTCTAATTGTCATAATGTGATACATTTTGATTAAATATCTTGTTTTTAACAACACATACAGATGATAAATGATATTCAGAATAAAGTGGCAGAACAAAGGTTACCAATACAAAAAAATTAAATAAAAAAAAGTCATTCATTGATAATCAATTTCATTTTTCATATACAATACTTTGATATATGATATATCATATGAAATACTTTAAATATCATATGATTTTAGGTGACAAAAATAGCATTTGTTTGATGATATTTTTGAAAATAGCATTTTAGAAAAAACTGCTTTAGCAAATAACAATTAACAACAGATAAATATGGAGGCTGTTTGAATAATACATTTTAATTTTATGTCAAATGATTTAAGATGACAAAAAATACATTTAAACGGTAATCTAAAATTGCAAATGTAATCATGTCATACATTTTCATTATATTTCAAATGATTTTAGGAAACCAAAAAAATGTATTATAGCATTTTCGTACATAAAAAATGTAAAGAAAATAAACAGAGGTGACATAGTACATGTACAATGTACAGTCATGTGAAAAAATGAGGACACCCTTTGAAAGCCTGGATATTTTGTACGTTTTTAAAAAGTTTATACTTTATACGTTTGTACATTTTTAAAAGCCTGGGTATTTTGTGCGGTTTAAAAAAAAATTTACTTTTTTCAAAATACTCTCTAAATGTAATTCTACAGAAATGCATATTCTAACTGTGGAAAAGTAAGGACACCCAACCCCTTAGTAGCTAGTGTTACCTGAAATAACTGCAGTGAGACGTTTCTTGTACCAGTGTCTGACATTAGTCTGAGGAAAGCATAGCTCACTCTTGAATGCAAATTTCTTTTAGCTGTGAGATGTTTGAGGGTTTTCTTGCATGTACAGCTCATTTCAAGTCACCCCACAGCATCTCAATAGGATTATGATCTTTGACTTGGCCATTTCAGCACTCTTCATTTCTTAATTTTCTTGGTTGATTTACTGGTACGTTTAGGGTCATTGCCCTGTTGCATGGTCCAGTTATGTTTCAGCTTTAATATTCAGATAGATGGTCTCATGTGTTCCTTAAGCACCCTCTGATACACAGTAGAATTCATGGTGGATTCTGATGGTGAGCTGACCAGGTCCTGCTGCAGCAAAGCAATCCCAAACCATGACACTCCCATCACCGTGTTTCATAGGTATGAAGTTCTTTTCCTGAAATGCTGTTTCTGGTGTCCAAAAAAATCAATTTTAGACTCATCTGTCCAAAGAAAATTATTCCAGAAGTCCTAGTCTTTGTCAATATTCTCTGGCAAACTTCAGTCTGGACTAGATGTTGTTTCCTCCTTGCACACCTCTAATGCAAGTTAAACTTGTGCAGTCTCTTTCTGATTGAAGAGGCATTTTGGAGAACTCTTGTTTCATCTTGCAGTCTGCTCTCAGGGTAAACTTGCTGGGATGACCAAACCTTGGCATGTTGGCAGTTGTTCTAATAGCCCTCCATTTAAAGATTATTTTACGGAGAGTGGAATGGCTCATTTCAAAATCTTTTGAGATCTTTTTAAATACCTTACCCGACTTGTAGGCTGCTACAATTTCTTTTTTTTAAATTTTGTTTTGCTCTTACCGTGGTACTCACTTTCACTTCAACAGTCAGGAGAACACCAAAAATACATTTCAGAGGTTTAGAAAGGGCAAACTTCATTCAAATGATTTACTAATAACGTGCACCTGTTGTGGTACACCTGTCTGTGATTTGAGCCATTTTAAATTTAAATAAATGTGAGGTGTCCTAACTTTTTCCTCAGTTAGAATATGCATTTCTGTAGAATTAAATTTTTTACAAAAGGTCTTGAAGAGCCTTTGTTTCAGTAAATTGTTTAGTTATATTACCTTTATCTTCTGCATTGTTAAAATTGAGATTAAATAATCATTTATTAAAAAAACTTACAAAATACCCAGGCTTTCATAGGATGTCCTAATGTTTTCACATGACTGTATATTACATTTTTATTATATATATAAATAAAAAAAACTAATTTGTAATTCATTAATTAAAAATCCATATAATTTCAGTAAGTAAATCCAACATTTATTTGATGATAGTAAAAAAAAACAAAAAAAAAAAACTTTACCAGACAAAACAAAGTGAAACGAAAAAAAATTACACAGGTCACAACTACTGGATATAAGCAATGAATTCCAAACTTCCAGAGTGTATTTTCTGGTGAACTCTTTGTGTCAGATGTTTCTGTTTTGGGTGTAGATTTATTTACTCACCGGAGGGGTCAGCAGGGAGGGACGCTCGAGGAAGGCCTGGCTCTAAGAAAGAGAGAGAGGTACAAGAACAGCCCATAAATCACAACTTATATAAACATACACCTGGAAATATAGGAACTACAGTACAGTAGATACACAACTTGTCTCAGTGGTTACAAAGCAATAGGGTTAATGTACAGTACACTGCTCCCAAAAAAGAGGCTTAAAAGACAAATGTCATTCAATCACCAAGATATGAGAACCTCCGACTGACTGACTTGAAATCAAGTGGCATTTTTACTGGATGTACAGTATGTTATGAAGCCAGTTCTTGCTTAATTTAGGCATTAGAGTTATATAATTTCTGTATGGTTCATCTCAGGATTCACAGCAGACTGGATGCTGAAAACATGTACTGTATAATGAACTCTGCTTAACTGTTTGAAACCTCTATGCTAGTCATTTTTAACAACTATGAGTGTATTTTGTGATGATGATCACATGCTTTTCAATTGACTGGTCTGGCATTTTCCATTACTTTGATTATTTTAAGCAAATTATCTCTTTTGAAATCAATCAGTTAAATCAAATTACATCAAAATACATTACAACTGACATTAAAATACATTAAAATAGTCAAATTACATCATAGTGTTTGTGTGCATCTCTGTGAGATTTTGCATGCTTTTAGAGTTTCGTAATATGTAGATGCTGCTGTTTTTTATATTGTTAAATGTGTGCTTATTAAATGATTACATATTTGCTAGTTATATAAACAGAACTGATGGATTTAAATAGAAATAGGAGATAAAAACTTGGAATTATGAAGTCCAATTCAGAAGGGGAAAAATAGCATTTTCTTACAATTGCTTTTTTTTTTTTACTTTAAGAAAGAAACAAAAATCTGAATACATGGCAGTTACCTTTCTTTTTTTAATTTAGTAGAGGAAACAAGATTTTGAACGATTTTGTGTTTACAAAATAATTGGGTATATTTATTATGTGTATATAAATACACACATCCAGTTATATATGTACATACATGCATAGAAAAATTTGATTATGTAAGTACAAACATTTATTTTATACGCGGTTAATTTATGATTAATCCTTAAACTGCACTATTTCTGAATGTTTTAAGAAATTCAAATTATTTCAAATGACTAAATTTACAATTTGCAGTATATAATACATGGAAAAATCCCAAGTATAAAACAACTACATAAATAAGCAGAATAAAACACTGGATAACAATTTGTAAAATTTTGATTTAGTATCCAATTCTTATTCATTCATTTGTACAATATCATTTGTAAAGTTTAGCTTGATTAGCTCATTCCCCAAATACATTTAGGTTGGGGGGTGGGGGGACACCTCCGTTTAAATATCTTACATTTTCATTAAAAGAAAAATTGTATAAGTTCATATAAATTAGCCAGTTTTATGACATAACAAAAAATAGTTACTTTCCTCATGCCTTCAGGCTTCAAAGATCACATAAATATGTATTGAAATTAGCAGAATATTTGTATATAATTGTACTAGGTATTACTGCAATGTTAAGAATTTGGAAAGACCAGAAAGAAAGATGGCAAAATCTTTACAGCAATATGGATGCAATAATATTCAAACAGTTTTAAAACATTAAGGTATTATTCACACAGATAATTTTTTTCCAGTCCATTACGCTACTTTATACTTTTCCAATTCTTACTTTTACAAAGCACCACTCATCAATGCCAGATCTAAAGCTGTGGACCAATATTTTGTTGACCAAAAACTCTTTAAGGCAAGTAATTTCAATCATTTCTGAAATCCTCTTGGTCAGGCATGTAAAAGCAAAGAACAGATTAAAAGTATAAATTACAAGCTTTATGTAAACATATGAAGCACTTTTTAAGACACATTCCTTATGTTTTTTGACCAAAGATGCGACCTGTGTGAATGGCCCTGAGTTATGATTGAACCCACTAAAACATTCTGTTCAAACTGCCTTAATCATAAAATATGAAACATGTCTCACAAAAGAAAAATAGAAAATGTAATCAAGTAAATGAGCATACTTACCTGGAGTTAGAAATTCCGTACAATAGATGCTAAAGTGTCAGAGCAACATACAGTAGTACTCCTAATGATAATAACGACACAAAGTAAAAAGAAATACTAGAGGAAACTCACAAATCTATAACAGATCATTCCGCACAAGATAATAGCATACACAAACAACACCAACATATACTGTATCAACCAATAAACCCACTGCCAACCTGTCATCTGTAGCTGCAAATACTAAAAATAAAACAATATATGAAATAAAGGTGGTGGTGTAAAATAGGAAACATTAATGAGGAAGCGCACATCAAATCCCTGCTGATTTAAAACACTAGAAAAAAACGTCTAGCATGATATACACCAGTTCAGATTTATGTAAATGCACAGAGAAAAGAGTAATAATGTGAAGCCAAACAGACCTCTATTGATTTAATCGCTGTTCAATATAAATTCACCTTTAGAAATGTGACTATTCTTCTTGAACCCCCCGCTGTCCACTCATCTTATTTCAAATTTTGTTGGGTTGTTTGAAACCTTTGCCTCAACTTCTAATGAGAAATTTAAACTGGCTTGGGAGGATGAACTTGGAATTGATATATCAGGGGGAACTATGGGAAAAGTGCCTGACTACTGTACGGTCCTGTTCGATAAACAGTGGGCACCAGTTAATACAGTTCAAAGTTATGCATCACCTGCACTATGCCAAAACCAAATTACAAAAATTTTTATCCCTCTATTTCACCTATGTGTGACAAGTGTAAAATTACAGAGGACACCACAGGTCATGCGTTCAGGTCTATTTTTGGACAAAGATTTTAGATTTTTACTCCAAGGCCTGTAATATTTCCCTCCAACCGGACACAGAGCTTGCTATTTTTGGTTTTTCAGAACACTCCCTCACCATTCCAAAACATCTCCAACAAGCCCTTACTCTAGGCATGACTGTGGCCAAGCAGCTAATACAAAAGAACTGTAAATTTTTTACCTACTTCTTTTCTAACCTGGTTAATAGATATGGTCTCCGTTATCCACTTGGAAAGGTTCAGATTTATTAGGTCCAACTCTAACGAAATATTCCTTGCTACCTGGGAACCCTTTCTTAGATACTTAGACCTGAAATTTGCTCATTATAAATTCATCACCCCTCATGAAAACTGACTGACACACTACCTTATAGGACTTTTTAATGTCTACATACTGTGTCACTACATATTGCATCTCCAACAGCTGAACCCACATGTATGGCAATTCATGTTATATTTACCTGCAATATATATATATATAAAGAAATGCGACCATTGACAGTTCAAATGTATCTGTTCAATATGCAGGCAATAGCACGCTGGGAGTGAGTATATTCATATGAGCTGACACATTTCCCACTATTTGCTGAATTAAACATATGCTTATGCTTAAAATGCAATGAATATGAATGATGGTTCACGGGGAACTCAGAAAGTTCAGAAAGTCTGTATGTGTGGTAACTAGCGTCTCTAAATTTGGTTAAAAAAGTACCGCCTTTAATAATTCAAAGTGTTACGCAACGTCAAAAACGCACTGCGAGGTCACTGAAGTTTCCCAGGCTTTTTCTACAGCTCTACAGATCTCGATTCCAAATTGACAAGACACAACAACCTCAAAACACACACCGCGAGAAGAACGCAGACTGTAAGATGCAAAAGTGAAAAGAGTTTGGTGAGACTGAGAGCTGACATAATGGTCATTGAAGACTTATAGCAGTAAATGTCATTTTTTTAAGGGCAAACTATAAACATTTATTCACTCCACAACAACAACAAGTTCTCTCAAAACGTCACAAGATATTCAAAATCCAGAAAAGAAACCAAAAACACTCTCAAATGTTCCACGTGATTCAACTGAATCAAATTCAATTGAAGTTTGTATTAGCATGTGCCAATTTCAGAAGAAACAAAGCAGGTAAAGCATACATCAATGCTAGCTTCTGGTGCTAGGAAAATGTGGTTCCTTTACTTACGCCTATTCTCATAGATAGCCCTGGACTTCTCATACAGGTCATAAGGGTCAGGTTTGGCCAGGTCAAATTCTGGACCTGAAGGCCAGTGCAGATATGGAGCGCTGTGAGGAAGAGCATGGACAGATAGACTAGTTGTGGGACTGCTGAGAGGATCCCAATGCTCCAAAACCTGCAAATACACCAGCATTCAGTAAAGCCTTCAGTCATCTTCATCAATACCACTGCTGTTAAAAACTAGTTCAAACCAGTATAGATGTTTTAATGGTTTCCAAAACAAATATCATAATAAGCATTACAATGCTTATGCAGAAGTTGGAATTTGGTTGTCATACCTGACGAATAAAGGTCATTATTTGACATCAATATGGCGGTTTAAAATGTGATGTTGGATTTGGTCACTTTCGAACACAACCTAATATCAACCAAATATCAACGTCATTTAATGTCATTATTGGAAGTCAAAATAACTTTGTCCCCAGACGCTGGTGACCTAAATCTTACCTAATTTTAATGTTCTATGATGTGTGTCTGCTGGGATGTTAAGAAGAAATCTAATTGATTAAGAGAAACAGTTGGAAACACACATGAACCACTGCAAAGTTTAATAATTATTTTATTGTGTCTTTAAGGCATGTGACTGTGTGAACGTTCAACATTCAGGCAGAAGAAAATATAATGTTTGTAACAAGGGTTGTAAGTAATGTGAGTTACGTACTTTTCTAATGCATTAATTTGAGAAAAAAAATGGAAAAATAACTTAAAAATAATGTAATGCATCACTTACCATAAAAAATTACTAAATTAGTTACTTTTTTGGGGAATAACTCAATATTGTAATGGATTACTTTCAAAAGTAACTTTACATAACACTTTGTAACTTTAGGAAAGATTAATTGTATTTATGTATATATACGATGAAGACAACACAGTGTTATTTTATAATATTGTTTGCAGATGATCCTTACAAAATCATCTTAATCAATCTAAAATTATGAATTCTTTCCAGATATAGCTATTCACTTCATCTAATGAGATTATACTCAACAATTGCAATATGTATCGCATAATAAAACATTGCAGTGTCAGTTTTATCAAAATCATGCAGCCCTAATTTGTAGTGTTTTAGTACATATTACATTAGGATTTATTGATTTGAATATGTTAAAATAATAGCAGCAGAAAGCAAGTATTTCTATTATAACCATTACACATTTCTTTTTTTTAGTTTTTAGTTTTTATTATTGTTGTTGTTGTTGTTTTTCAGTAGGCTGGGCTGAATTGTGTAAGCACACTGTGCTTTTCTAGTCATGAGTTTCAATGGCTGTGGGATGGGGATGTGTTTAACAATGAAGTCGCTTTCTTTGCGGTAATTAGTTTTTAAATGAAGCGTACACACACAATGCATGGCGAGTTGGTTCTAGCTCAGCAAAATAAGGACTCATCAAGGACACTTCTCGCATTTCTCTAGTGCTGACGGTACTGAATGTAATCTTGGTGTTTTCTCATGATAATGCAGCTGTGGGCCAAACATTTCCAAACCACTCCACTATATCAGGCTCTCCAAACCACAACCAATATTAGGTTTTGCAAGCGGAATGCACAAACGCGAGCAATCATAAAGGTCTACTTTTTCTGAAATCAAAGCACATATTTTCACAAATGGTTTGATTGCTTGGTTTGAAATTATGTGCAGTTTCACTCCCTTATGTCTCCTTGTCATCTTGTCCTTTTGGGATTTGAAGTGATTATTGAGAAACTATGCTGTTTTTATAATCGAGATGGTTCAGCTATAGAGAAACAATGACACAAAAATAAATAATAATATATATTTTTAATAATAAGCATATAACAGTTTTGTCTGGTTACCGAATCTGATTGGCTGATACTCTTGTATATTACTTTGTCCACAGAGTGGCAAGCAGAGTATTACAGTCTGACAAATATTGCAGCTGTTGGACAACATAATGTTCTTTTGAGGCTTTTTAGGCTAGAATGTAGTTGTTTAAATTGCAACTATGCAGTTTATTATCTTAAATATTCATAATTTAGGAGATTCAGTGCGTTATCGATCATCAGCCTGCAGTAGAGCAAAGACGGTTGACGTTCTGCTGACGACTGCATAAAGTTCTTAGGGGAAAAAAATCCTCGTATTTCAAAACTACAGCGGATCAAATCATTATAAAACAGGTAAGTAACATTCAAACAATCTCTCTCTTTTGTATGTTGTAGGGCTGTAGTTATAACATAGTATTCTATTAGTGATTGCTTTCCTTTGGCTTTTTCGGGGTTAATTATTGTGATATCCCAATTGCAACAGAGAAATACTGGGAAACCTTTTGTAGACGAATAGGATTTCATGCCGTTCAGCCATTTAATCTCAAAATGTGAGCAAAATCATCTGCTTGGTCATCATTTTAGACATTATGCTAGCAAGAGAATCTCTCAAATACTAGATCTAAAGTGACGGTTGTTAAGTTACATGTGTTAAGACATGTTTGTTAAGACGTTTCAACGGTTTCTGCTGTTCTGATGTCAATTGTAGAATGAATGGTGGAAGAAAGTAGTTACTCATACAAAACGTTTTTTGAGACTCTCCGTTTGATTTTTTTTTTTTATATACATGATTATGCCATCAAACTGTTGTATAAACGCAATATCACACTCGTAGCAGTGAGATATGGCTGTATATCATTACTGGTCATATATATATATATATATATATATATATATATATATATATATATATATATATATATATATATATATATATAAAATTATTAATAAAAATAAAATAAAATATTTAATCATTTTCCACAGTGTTTTAGAGGTGCTATAAAAAACTGGCCAATAACTGACCTCAGCTATACATATTAATTCCAAACAAAGCAAAATACATAACACAGTATCATTGAAAAAATATTACTACAATATTTTTATTACATTTATATAATTTGATTAGTTTCTACGATGCCATTTTGGATTTAGCTTTTCGCTTATAAGGCAGCTTATTACAATATATGTGGATTAGGTTCTCCGATGCCATTTTAGATTGTGCTTTTCGCTTATAAGTCGGCTTACTACGATTGACACATTGTGGGGTTGAATTTATTTTTCAAAATGCGAAAATTACAGGTGAAAATTTCAGATTCAGTGTGCAATAACCTTTAGAGTTAATCCAAATCTTTAGCAGATGGTATTACAGATGGGTCATTTTTATTTTACCTGTATATGTTTTTCGGGCTCCTAAAGTGCAAGGAGCCAATGACCTGCATTTTATGATACTCCAAATCTTCATAAGATTTAATGTCCTATTCAAAAAGGTCTTGGTGTGAAGATGATAAAAGTAAGCAATAGTAAGTGCAAATACCCTTTAAGTAAAAATATTCATCCAAAAGGGGACATGTACAGTATATGACCTCACTAAATCTAATTCATAACAATAAGAATTGTTTAACTCTTTAAAAAATAATGATAAAAACGGTATTTTAAGACCAAACTACATTTGAAGAACTTCATTTTCCTGAAGGCAATTACCTGTTAAAATGATTTGAACCACATTTCATAATTGCGCTTCCAGTCATTCAGATTAAAATTCCAATTCATGTTCCTGTCAGGTCATGGACAGTTCATTTCCAACTCATAAATCAAAATGGAGGTGATTAAATTTAATATTTTGCCCAAGTCTGGATGACAAGTGTGCAGAGCGTCTTCCAATTCAGAAAAGAAGAAGTTTTTAAATTAAACAAATGGATTTGGCTTCATGCCAAAATGCAAAGCCAAACAAAAGGCATAATTGAAGTAAAGGGGGAAAAACAAATCAAGAAAGAAGATGCCAGGATGAGTAAGATGCCAAGGCTTATTAAAGGAGGTCAGTGTTAGCATGCTAATCTGGAGAAGGCAAATGCCTCTGGGCTGCTGTGTGCAACTGTGAAACAAACAGATTAAAATGTGTCACTGCCAAATAAACTTAAGCACACACACACATGAGCTCATAGATGATGTTATTACTGCTTGAGCAAAGCACCATGACGTTCAAGCTCATGCAAATATATATTTTTCGCTCAGAGCAAACAGTCCTCAATGTTCTGCGGCTGATAAAGGACAAACGCTTTCGGTTGGTTCCTGTCATGTTTGGGTTCCGTTCAGGTTTGCGATTAATAAAAAATGCTGCTAGTAATGAATATTTGATGTTTTAAACTTGATCACAGACTCCTCATCTGAAAGACTGAGAATTAACTGAGAAAGAAAATGAGGCTAAGGAGTTTATTGCTGAGAGAGGAAAAGAAAAGACACTGATTTTAGTCTTTAATAGTCAGGTCAAGTAAGGTCGCAATGTTCAAAAGTCTGGACAACAGACTCTAAGTAGCTTATAAGAGAAATATGACTCAATAAATTACATGAAACAATTACTATGTATGTATCAGGCCTGTGCTGGTGTTTAATATTGCAATATATTGTGATAATGAACATGCATGATGTTGTTATCGTTGACACTTCCAATTACTGTGAATAATTATTTGTTATTTAAGCTCTATTATTGAATAACTTAATTACTGAAGCCTATATATTTTCACTTATAAATCTGGTCTAAGACATTCTACAATTTTCGAAATATTTATAGGCATATTGTTGATTAACGCTGTACAACAAGGCTCCATTTGTTAACATTAGTTCATTTAACTTAACTCACAATGAACATTTCAAGAGATCACACTTAGCTCATGATTTGTAAGTAGCTTGTTTGCCATGCTGTCCCGGGAGAGAGCCTTGAGCTCAAGGGATCCTCGGGCCCAGGGATCCCTCCCTTTCGCAGGCCGAGAGGAGATTGGTTGATCTCAAAACTCCCCCACTACTGAGACTAAGGTGAACTTCCCGAGAGCAAACATTTATAAAAATGAACTAGGCTTATTTTGTCTATGATATAAAGCATAATTGGACAGTGGGAGGAAACCAGGGAACCCAGGAGAAACCCATGAGGATAACATGCAAACTCTGCACAGAAATACTATATGGCCCAGCGAGGACCGTTGGTATTTTTGCTATAGGGCAACAGTGCTAGTCACTGGGCCGCCGTGCCGCGCATTCTGGATAAAGGTGGAAGAAGGGGGGAAAAGGGGTTTCTTCCAGACAAATATAGTTGTAGAAAGGAAATTAGGATAGTGTTTTGGG